GCCTGTGCCCTCAGGGAATTTCTGAGCCTCAAGAACAGCAAGGGCTACATCCAGATCCGTGTTAGCTAAGCCAGCACTGTGGTGTAGCACAGAGAGGACAGTGGCAGCAGAACCACGGGCACTTCTGGCACTGATGCTTGTGTCAGTGCAGCTGGGGCAAAGCCAGACTTGTCTGGCAGAAGTACAGAGCAGACTGAGGCAGCGTGTCCTGTTTCATGACTGTGACACATCTGTCATACAAATTTGATACTAATACCAACACTGTTTCACCAAGGCATTTCAAATGCCGCTGCTGAGAATCCCTGAGATGCTGCAGATAAACAGTTCTGTCTCATTAGTCTGCAGGAGAGCTCTGATGTGAAATCATCTAGTCCCAGCAGCTTCACCCCTCCTGCAGAAAGCAGGATCACCAGCCATGGTTACAGGGGTAGCAGCTGAAGCACACAGTTGGCACAGTGGCTGTGTCACTGCACTAAGTGCTTCTTGCCTACCCCAGGTCAAGTTCAGTGATATGGTAGGACAAGAAGCTCACTCACCCTTGAAGTGCAAGAAAGGCTTACTCTGTCAGGAAGCATTTTATTCCTCTTGGTTTCTTACATATCTGAGGTGGATCAGAGTGTGCTGTGTGCTGCCGGTGCCCTTCAAACCTCAAAGCGTTTCCATCATCTTGGCCTGTTAGAAAAACAGGCATTTCTGAGTTCCAGGAGTATCTCTGTTTGTAGCAGCTCAGTTGGCTTGTAAACCATAGTTCCCAAAATGACAGCATGGGATGTCCATCTTTGGAAGCATTTGGATCTGCCTTTGAGAAAAACCCACCACAGATCCTGCTGACAGCCCTCTATATAAGGGCAGTTTTGTCTCCTAAGATGTAACTGTATCCATGTGGATTCCTGTAACCAACACTGAGTGAGAAATTATGACTCCTTAGAAACCATCTTCTGCCTCTCATATCCTACTGAAGAGCCAGAGAAGCCCTGGCTGTGTCAGTGCATTATCTCCAGGTGTGGCCATTCAGACAGCTGGTCCAAGGCAGGTGGGCTTTGTGATAAACCCGAGCACACTGGTGTGAGGGGAGTGGCCACTCTTACACATATGGCTCTTCCCACGTGTTAAGGTTTCCCAATTGTCTTTTGCTGGGTTTCTTCAGTTTCTGAAATGGTGGTGGCTGGGGAGGCTGGAACACAAGGTCTGGACTGTGCAGTGTCATTTGAGAGGGAGCTGCTGTGGCCTCAGCCGGTGGGGTGAGGTTTAACATCTTGCCTGTTCATTGCAGATGCAGCAGAAGGAGACACTCCAGAAGCCCACAAAGGACCAGCAGTTTACAGTCCTTCTCGATACAGCTACCAGGTACGTGCTTTTCATACCTTATCTGCCCATTCTGAAATAAAGCTTTTATAAGGAGGGAAACAGTGCTTAACTGCCGTTCTTCACAGTGCTGCACTAAGCACCTCAGGATGAGAAGCAGGTAGGAAACGGGGAATTCAGCCTGACACGCATTTTCCTTTTTTTCCACATGCCTTGTTCAGCTGCTGCAGTCTGACAGTCCCCAGGCAGAGTCACAGACCCTGCTCCAGCAGAACTCCTCCCCGTACAGAGGGCACCTCGCGCCGTCTCCTGGATACAGCTACCGAGCAGCAGCACAGAGGACAGGACACAGCCTGTCCCACGGTTCCTCGGAAACGTCCCTCTCCTCCACCTCATATTCCAGCCCTGCCCACTCGGTCTCCACAGACTCCTCTGCCCTGTTTGCAGGGAATTCGGGGTATTTCAGCAGCCAGCAGCACTCTGGCAGTGTCAGCAGCAGCCTCCTGAGGAAGAGCTGCCCTGCGGCTGCCAGCCCGGCACAGCAGACAGCTGTGGACTCTCTCTCCTCGGAGTCGGGCTCCCAGCCCTGCACAGGCGTGTCGGGCTCTTCCTCCGCTCCCCAAAGTGCTCGCTCACTACAGTCAGACTTGCGGACTATCAGCCTGCCGAGCTCGGGGCAGTCTGTTCTCTACCAGGGTTCCCGGGGTGCAGTGATTTCCAATGCACAACACTATCCGCACCGCGGGGGAGGCAGTGTCCATCAGTACAGACTGCAGCAGCTTCAAGGTTCTGGAGTAAAGACTCAAACAGGACTTTCCTAGGGCTGCCTGGACTTCGGGAGGACAAAACTGCCCATAGCTCCTTCCAGTCACCCCTGGAAGTGGCTCCTGGGCTGGTGTTGAAAGCTTGCACCTGATGCTGGGGTGCCAGGGGTCAGAGGCTGAGGTCGAAAATGCACGGGTGAGATTTGTGAGCAGTATTGGCCTCTGGCCTGGTAGGAGAACACAGATTTCTCTGAGGCAGAGACTGTAGCAAAGCAGTTCCCTGACATATGGGTACATTGCAAAAGCAAAAAGAAACAAACAGAAAAAAAAAGAAAAAAAAAAAAAAAGAAAATGGTTCAAGTGCAATGACTGTGGCACAGCCTCTGTCTCTGGTCCGTGCCCATGGCCACAGTCACACATGCAGCGTGGACACAGTTCTGAATTCAAAAGCAGTTTAAAGGAAACGTTGGGGGAAGTTAACTCCAATCTCTTTATAGGTCAGGTTCTCAGTGCGTTCTGGGGAGGGCTTTAATCCGTTACGATCATTCCAGTCACAAGCAGACGAGCGCACACGGCTGCCTTTGGGCTTGGGTCGCCGCTGCCGCCGTCGGAGCTTTTTCCAGGACAGGAGAGTCTCTGCAAATGCAAACAGCACGGGAGGGTTTCAGGGTGTGCCTGTGGCTGCAGAGGATCCGGGGTGCGCTGTCGTGCACTGCTTCATTGCAGTCTGTCACGAACGAGTGTTTTTGAGGTCGCTTAAGGAGTCTGTGAACAGGAGCGCGGCCGGGGCTCGCTGGCTGCTGGTGCGCCACGCGCAGGGGATGGCCGGGGGCCTGATCGGTGGAGTGATGCTGCGGCACGCGGGGGGCTGCAAGGGGCGGTGGTGGGGTGGTGGGTGGGCACCCCGGTCTGTGCTGAGCCAGAGGCTCTCCAGGCAGTGCCACGTGGGGTCTTTCCCAGCCGCTGTCACCCGCTGAGCGTGGCAGGAGAGCCAGCCCAGACACAGTGCGCTGTGTGTTCAATTCCATACGATTGCCAGCTTCTTTCTCACTTGTTTACTGTAATATCGGGCGTGTTTTTATTTATCTAATTTTATATTCAGTTATAACCATAGTAGGTTAGCTAATATATGACAGGTGTCATCCCTGGTGCTGCAGTGGAACTTCTCCTTTCTCTTGGATAACATAATGCTGTGAGTCTGTCTCCCCTCTCCTTGCAGATGCACAGTCTTCTTCCTCTTTTTTTAGGACTGTTACAGATTTCTCTAATTCACAACTGAAATCAGGTGTTTGTTCAGCCTAGGGGAGACTTTTAAAATATTGAAACAAAGAGTAGCTTTCTCACACTGTCTGGCTGTGAGCGTGTTGGGATGGAACTTGTCACCCCGCAGTTGGGTGTCTGTATACTGTATAACATAGGTGTAAACTTCACTTGGCTTAGCCCTGGAGGTGCAGCCTCCCCTTTCGTGCTCCGAGCAGCACGGGGCAGACGGGCTCTGCCCTGCCAGGCGGCGGGAGGGGGCCAGAGGGGCCCTGCCCAGAGGCTCCAGCACCTTCGGGCGCAGTAGGGGGGCAGGAGGGAGGGACCCTGGAAAGCTCTAGGAAAGGTGGGGGCTGTAGCTTCTTACTCTAGTGGAGTTTTTACACCATGCTGTAACATTTGAACTTTCACAAGAGATGTAATAATTTTGATAATAAAAATACTTAACTTGAAAAATCGTATTGCTGAATTTCTTATCACCTTGAGCACTGGTGCCCAGGACACAGGGTGAGAGGGTGAGGGCATGTAAGTCTCTCTTCCCTGTCTCCTGCAGGGTAAGCAAATCCTGGCAGGAGCAGCCTTGCAGACCTCCCTCCTACCTTCTGCCTGGTGAAGCTAGGAGCTGCTGTGGGAGCTGCTGTTCTTTAGGAAATTCCCTGAGCTTCTGGCTGGGGTTGTGAGCTTTTTGGCTCTGCTGCAGCTGTTCTTCTTGCCTAAGTTCATTTGGGGAGGAGATGGATTTGGAGGATGTCTCCTGCACCACTGCACCTGCTTTAAAACCTGTTTCCTGGTGTGGCAGAACCTGGTATCCAGGGTTTTCATACTGCTTGCCTTTTCCTTAGGAAGCCTGACATGCGCTGAGCCTGCCATGGGGCCTGCCAGGTGTGTCTGCAAGTGCTGGTTTGAGGTGCCCATGGCTTCTGGTCTTCAACTGCCCTCACTTGAGAGAGACCATTCCCCCTGACACTGTGGAATAGCATCTGTCATGGTTCATTCTGTCCTTTCGTGTCCCCCAAAAGAGTGGCTCCATCTCCCCTACTCCTTCCCTGAAAGCAGCTGTGGGTAGCACCAGCCCTGCTCTTCTCAGCCTCTTCTGCCATCTGCAGGGCTCACCTGGGCTGTGAGCATGTCCCACACCGGAGGAGGCAGACCTGGCCAAAGCTCTCTGCAAGTCCCAGAGCTCCCCATGTTGCCCTCACACAGCCTGGAATGCTCTCCCCACTCCTCTACCAGAGCATGTCATTAAACTGACCGGCCATGTGGTTTTTTTCCATCAAGACACTGGAATTCGATTGATTTCAGGAGTTTTTTGATTAATTTCATGAATTTTCCTGTCAGTCTGTGTTAGTCAGTGAGCTGACAGTCCACTCATCACGCACTGTGAACAAGCAGAAGGGACGGGTTCAAAGGCTCCTTGGGATGGATGGGATCCTGCTCCACCCCCTGCTTTGCCATGAAGTGGGACAGACCCTTTCTCTGGGGACTCCTCTGGCCAGCCCTCATTGTGTGCCAGCCCAAGTGGGTGGAGGCTCAGCTCCACAGGCTGCAGGGTGGGCTCCCCACCACAGCTCAAGACACTCACAGGGGCTTCTTTGGCCTCCCACCTCCTTTGGTGGTGGCCAGGAAGAACCCATCCCAACCTTCCCCACAACACAGGGCTCCGAGCTTGTCTGGTTTGAATTATATTTTTCAATAAGGTTTTGTGAAACACTGTATCAAACTTTGTACTAAAATACAGATATATTACAGCTACTGTATTCCTTTCTCCACTGATTTTCTTGGTTTGTTTTTCCAATTCGGCTGGCAACAGCACTCTCAAGCTGGCAAGACCCGGGCGCTGCGAGTTCCTGTTGACCTCGTTCTGGGGGGCAGCTGTCAGAGGGATGTGGGCACCGCTGGGCTCATGGCGGAGGGCACTGGCAGGAGTGCTGGCACGCACTCCGTCCCGGGTGGCTTTGGCTCCCAGATGGTGTTTCGGCACAGCTCCATCCCCCACCGCCACGCCCCAGGGCCTCAGGGCACCACTTACCTGCTCCAGCCCGCCCCCGGTGCCGGGTGAGGCGCTGGGTCCTGCAGAGCCCCTCACGCCATCCCCCAGCAGCCTGCACGCTCCGTGGCCCCATCCCAGGACCGTGGTCCCACCCTGCTCCCACTGCCCCGCTCCCTGGCCTTGCCCAGTGTCTGGGTCCAGCCCTGCCAGGGCTCCAACCAGCCCTGGGGGCCCTGCCCTGGGCCCTGCAAGGAGCCCCAGCTGCTCGCACTGAGACACGGCTGAGGACTTTATTGCATTGCGAGGGCTGTGGTGACCCAAGCCCCTGCGGCCAGGGAAAGCCAGCGCACACACACGCTGGTGTGGCCAGCAGAGCCACAGCCAGGCTGCAGCCACCCGCGCCGGGGTGTCGGCTCTCGGGTGCGGTGTGTGGGCCTGGGAGGCCGCCGGCGAGGTACAGCCAGGAGGCCGGGTGGGTACAGGAGTGCTCGGGTACCCAGCCATGCCGTGCGGCAGGGAAAGCCTTGCTGTCACCAGTGGAGATAAAGCACCGTATGGGGATGGGGAGGGAAGGCGTTTGGCAACAGCCCGCGGCCGGCTCGGGGAGGGGTCTTGGCAGAGGGGGTTCCTCCTGTGCCCGCCCGGGGGTTTTGCATGTTCAGCTGCTCCCACTTACCAGGGCTTACATTCAACGGCGGCGCGAGTCGGGTGTCCCACGGCCGGCAGCGGCAAGGCCCCCGCGGTCCCCATGCTGAGGGGAGCGAGCAGCAGCCTGCGGCCCCAGCCACGCACCAGGAAACACCATGTCCTGGGCTGGACTCCCGGAGCGGGGGGAGAGGGGGCTCGAGTCACTTTACCCTGTTTAGAGAATATGAATTTACATGTAAAAGTAGGGGTTGGGCCCCATCCCGGCCACCGGGTCCCCTGGCTGTGGAGACAGGATCACGGAGCTGTACAAAATGGGAGTGGGGAGGGGTCCGGGACCCGGAGCGGCCGGCACGGGGCGTCACAGGGTGCGCGTTCGGGTGGGAGGCAGCAGGTCAGGAGTCCTGGGGATGTAGAAATCTGTTAAAAACTCCAAGACTGTTTTTTCCTTGAAACAAAACCGCAGCTGGATTCTGTTCTTGAACAAAGCGGGTTTGAGGCATCCTCCCCCGGCGGCGGCCCGCAGGCAGCGGTGGGTACGGAGCTGGCAGGGTGCGTGGGATGGTGGTGCCGGCGTGGACATGGAGGTGGCCATGGATGCGGCGGGCGGCTGGCGCATCCCTGGCACGGGCACCGGGGCCCGGAGGGCGGCGCGGGACGCTGTGTGGCCGCTGGCAGCAAATGGAGGGCAGGACAGGGAGGGAGCGCCCAGGCTGCCGGCCATGGGAAGAGGGTCCTGCTGCGGATGGTCGGCCTTATATCCTCTGCAGGGAAAGCACAGCAGGTTGGGGATGGACTTGGCCTGGTCTTACTGCACCATCGTGCTACTTGCATGTGCTAGGCATATGCCTGTCCCCATCCCTTCCACCCTGTCCCTGCTGCCTCCCTTCTCCATTGCCCCCAGCCCTGCTGCCTGCATAGCCAGGGTCCCCCACCCCATCCCATCCCATCCCATCCCATCCCATCCCATCCCATCCATGTCACGCAGACATCAAGCACATTCACACCCAGAGACACCACAGAGGGACAAGGGACAGGACAGTGACACTCAAGGCTTACCGCAGTGCCAACAAAATCTGTGGAAACAGAAGAGAGAGAGGTCAGGCAGGGCAGAGGCTCAGCAGCTTCCTCCCACCCTGCCCAGCCTGGCTTGCCTTGTAGGTGCCAGTTAAGCCCATGGGACCCTTGCTAGGCTGCCAGAGGGGCCAAGCCCCCCAGGCTGCTCCCACCCAAGATCCCCCCAGTAGCATGGTGCTGACCTTTGCTCTCTGTCTTGAGCTCCTCGTGCAGCAGGTCGTTCTGCCGGTTGCCGAGAACAAAGGCCAGGAAGGAAAGGATAAGGGCGTTGAGGATGCCGATGATGGCCAGGATATAAGCCCAGCGCACAGAGCAGTCACCCAGGGAGTACTTCCCTGTCTTCTCCCCGCACATGTCCCGTATGGTCTCTGCATCCCAGCCATCGGGAAAGATCATGCAGCCCAGCACCAGGCAGAGCGCTGCAAGAGGGAGAGGAGGGGGAAGCATCAGAGACAATGGAGTGGCAGTGCTGGTGCTGAGCCCCCCAGTCAGTACATGAGTGCAGCCCATGTCTGGCAGGGACCCCACCTTGGCCCCACGACAGCCTGGCAACGTGGCAGGTGACAGCCACCACTGCCTCGGGAGCCCCAGCGACTGCGTTTTTGGCTGTCCCAAACCTGGCCCACGCACAAATAGGGACTTCAGGCTCTTGGTTTCTACCAGCATCAGCCACAGCACCAGTGGCTGCCCACGGGCTTTCCTCATCACTACAAGCTCCCTGCATGTGGGCAGGAGCTACCGGTGCACTGCAGGCAAGGATGCTGCCTGTGGAGAGGACTGGAATCCCCAGGAGCCCCCACACCTGACCACCCCGCAGCCTGCAAGCACCACTCCAGAGGGGTCACCTTCCCAGCAGGCCTCCACCCAGCACACTCTGTGCTGAGCAAGGAGACATCAGGGAACACAGGGATGGAAATGCCAAGACAAAGCCTGTGACTATCAAGGTAAGGAGGTGACTTTTTCTGACTACAGCAAGTACAAAAGCTCCTCACCCCATATCAGCTGGAAAAGCTAAAAATAGTAATGATGGCTGTGACTCCCTGCAGGTACTTTTGCCCTGAGTTAAGGAAGAAGCAAGATGTTTGTGCCCACACCAGTAACAAGTTCTCTCTCCATCCCTTTCAGCAAACACCCTGCAGGCAGGCAGCTGGCAGTCTGGCATGAGCTTTCTGGGTGCTGGCATGTGTTTTGCACTGCTTTCCATGGGGAAGGGAAATCCCAGGAGGGAGACGAGTGCCTGCAGGGCATCACACTGCGCCCAGGAAAGGACGGGGACACTGGCACATAATATGCAGCAGCTGCTGCCTGGTCTCTGACTCCACACACACATAGCAAACCCCCTTGGTAAAAGTGTCTGTGGACAGTGCTGATTTACCCTGCATGCTGATTCACTGCAATGCACAGCCCTGCTGCCACCCCAGCACCACAGGGCTGCACAGAGCCAAGCCGGTGTCTCCAGCATGTCGTCACCAGGGACTCCCGGCCAAGCACAGCCTGTCTGGGACTGGGCCAACCCAAAACCATCCCTCTGCAAGAAACACAATCAGCACCAACGCCATGCACTGCATGGTAAATGGTGAGGAGCAGCCTGGCCTGCTGCTGACCTGGGCACCTTGGAATAGGATGGCATTAATTCAGCTGAGGGCCTGAATTAAAGGGGATCAGGTGCAGCAGACCTGTGCCAGGGACTGTTCCTGTGAAAGCAGAGATGCTAAGAGGATTTTAGGATCCTCTGAGCTCCCAGTGCAGTGCAGCTGTGAAACAAGCTAAGGTGCTCTGTGACAATCCCCAGCAAGGGGTGAGTTTACCCCCACAGCACTACTCAGGCTGGCACAACCCAGCCTGGAAACGGGCACAGTTCTGAGAAATCTGCTGAAATCATAGAGGAGGAGGAAAGAACCACAGGTATGCAGTGAGGCTGGGAGAAAGCACAGAAAGCAGCAGCTCCAGCTGCCTGGGTGGGCAGCAGGCTTCAGCAACAGCCACTCTGGGCCCAAAGGAGAATGGGGGCTGTGCCCAAGATGGTAGGCAAATATGAGTTAAAAAATCAGGCACCAATTTTACCTACACCAGCAAGGGCTTGGGCAGGCTCCTAGCCTTTGTGCACAGCCCTCAGTCAGTCCTTCACAGGAGCAGAACAGCAGCCCCTGGCTCTATCCCTGGACTCTGCAGGCAGTGTGATGTCCTCTGCGTTCCTGAGCTGTTACTGGGGTAAAGGTGGGTCCAGCTGCCCAGGTAAAGCAGAAGCCTGCCAAGAGCTCACCACTCTGAAAACACCACAGGTGAGAGGCTCTCCCAGGACATCTGCAGGTCCCAAACATGGCAGGACAGGCAGTGATGCTACGGCACTCATGGAGGACAGGAGAGACAGGGTCTAAGGCAAAAGTAGGGTGGCTCAAAAAGGCATGGGAGACACTCGTGTGGTGGGTTGTCACAGCAGTGTCACAGAGAACATGCAGTGACGGCCACTGCCAGGACACTGCCTGGCTCCAGCCTGTGTCTGCTTGTCTGATCCCTCTCATCCCTGTGTGCCTGCTCTGTACTGCACCAGGCCAAAGGGAGTCTGTGCCCTGTCCCACCGAGCAGCTGCAGGATCTTTGCCCGTGCCCCCACAGCCCATTTGACAGAATTAAACAACAAATTTACTGCTGGACAGAGGTGGGTGCCCAAGTCACCACACATACCTAAATGCCTCTGCCTGAGGGTGACTGGCCTCTTCCCAAAAACCCCTCACTACTCTACAGCTCCCTGGGAAGTGGCTGAGGTGGGGCTGAGCTACTGAAGGCAGGTGCTCTCCTGGTGAAGAGCAGCTCAGTGCTCTGCCTTTCCCATCTGCCCTACATGTTCCCAGCAGCAAGCTGACTCCTCTGCTCTGTCACAAGCAATTCCCTTTTCTGCACTCCCCAGGCCACCCAATGTCCTGGAAACACCTTCCCGTGCCTGCAGCAGGGAGTGACTTTGAAAAGCAGAGCAAGAACAAGGAGGGGATCCCCACACAGTCCACAGGCCTTGGTGCTGGCCTCTCCAACAGGCCTGAGGGATGCAGGGTCAGGGCTCTGCCTGCCCACCCCTCTGCCTGCAGCACCATTCTGCCAGCACCTACCTCCAAATGCCCCAAGACCCCTTGCAGACCTGCAGGAAAACCTTGGGTTTTGTTTAAAGCAGCCAATTTCTATGCCTTGCAACCACAAGAAAAGCACCAGGTGATGACTCCTATGAAGAACCACTATAAGAGGAAAAAATAACCCAACTCCTGTCCATTTTGCTTTTAATTCCTGTTCTTCTGAGTGTGTGAATGCCAGTCCTCTCTGTCAGTGCCACCAAGAATGGCTGGCTGGTCTGTCATACCCCACAGCTGCCATCCTTCCCCTAGGCCCTGGGCTCCAACTCTCTTTTCTAGAGTTTTTCCAATTGTAAAGACAGTTTTGAGAGCAGGCATTTCAGTGATCACTGGGACAGGGTGCATGCAGAGGGAGGATGATCCTGCTGGGGCGGGGGCTCTGACCCCATAAAGCTGGCATTTCTTGGCTTTACAGCTGGTTTATGGCTTCTCACTCCTCAGTGCTCCCTTGTCAAGGTTCATTAGAAACAACATGGGCATCTCAAGGGCTTTTGATATCCTCACAAAATAAATTAATCAAAGGGAATGCAATGTTATGACTCAGGCTGCAACACCAAAGCAAGATTTGAGCAGAAAGAGGAGGCTCCTCCTGGCAGGACAACATCTCCTGGTACAAGGTGCATTTAGCTAATTTGGACTGTCTGAGTAACCCCCATGTTTGCTGAGTACCACTACCCCTGTCCTGAGCAGCTGTGCCTGCAGGATTAAAATTTGATTTTTTAAAATTACTTTTTCTGTCTAGTTTAGTCTGCAGGTGTGAATGAAAACTGGCTTTCACTGCTTCTGCCTGGCATGGGTGGAAGGAGCTCAGGACATGACCTGCAGCTGAGATGTGACCTCCCCCAGAGCATCACGCCACCACAGAACACACAAACAGGAAGATGTGAAGTGATGGGGGGAAACCAGCAATCACTGGGTCCAAAATGGGCTTTTTAAACCTGGCATGGGGACAGCACATGCAAAAACCTCGGGGAACAGGGGCTGGGCTGTGCAGTCGGGGTCTAAAGTGGCTGCTTCTCACCAGAAAACCTCCTGAGAGCTGAGCACCAAAAGGAAAGGGGACAAACACAGTCCCCACTCCTCCCCCTAAAAACTGAAATCCCTCAAAAATAAACCAACATTAAGGGCAGCGTGCTCTGGACGGCGAGCACCGGCCATTTACACAGACACGAGCTCCCTTACGGCGTTTTGCTCCACAGGCTGTTTTTGTGCCAAAAAATCAGCAGGATTCAGAATAGAGTTATGAGTTTGTATGAATCAGAACTGACAGTTACTTTATCTGGAACAACAGTTCAGGGATGTAAGCTCCAGGACACGAGCGGCTCCGAGACGCCCGGCTCAGCCCCTCCCCGCGAGTACTCGGGCACACCGAGAGCCGCGGCGGGAGCGCTGCTGCTGCTGCTGCTGCTGCGGAGCGCACGGCGCTGCACGGATGCAAGGGATGGGCTGCAGCCCGGCTCCTGTCCCCTCTGCAAGACCTGAGTGGTAGGGGAAGAAGAGGGGAATCTTCAGGAAAGCTTTTTTTTGGGGTCCGGAAGACAGTAATTCAGCGAGTGCTGAGGGGTTTTGCGGTGCTGTTATTTGTGCTGCAAGGTCAGCAGGTGGAAGTGGTTCGTACACGGGCAATATTGCTCCCTTTGACAGAGAAAGGGCTTGAGGACAAACTGCAGAGTCACAGGATGGTTAAAGTTGGAAGGGACCACTGGAGATCATTTAGTCCAACCCTCTTGCGAAGGGTCACCTAGAGCAGGTGACACAAGAACATGTCCAGATGGATTTTGAAAGACTCCAGAGACAGAGACCCCTCAACCTCCCTGGGCAGTCTCATGCTCAGCAGCTGTCCCAGTTACATTCCAAGCCAGTTTACAGCAGTGGTATCTGCCTCATATTTTTTCATTAAGAATTTCAATTAATGACTTTTATATCCATGAAAAGAGTATTTTGAAACCTCAGAGTCTCTGAAAGGACTTGGGTCTCCAGCAAGTCACAGTCAGGAAGATGAGCCTGTCCTGATGTGGTTCAGCAGAGCCACTGCATTGCTGCCAGAACCAGGGAAGGTTTTGGGGCTGTAGCACTCGCCCAGGCCAGATCCTGCCTTCCCTTGGGGCTGAGGCCACACCACTACACAGCTCCACCATGCTCAGCCCAGCAGCTGGCAACAATTCCCTCACTCCTCCTCTCCATGGATATGCCAAAACCATGCCATGCAAGGGGTCCCCACTGAGATAGGGCAAACACAGCTGCAGTGCAGAAGATGAAGCCCTGCTTAGGAACCTGCCTCTGATCTCAGGCCTTGGAAGGGCCCATCCAAGAGGTGTAGCTTTGAAGGGAGTCTCCCAAAGGAGAAAAGAGCTCAGATGGATATGTATCACCACATTCTCCATCAGGCAAGGTGGCTGGACATGGCACCATCAATGCCAAAATGCCACTGATAAGGACAAAGCCCAGCCCTAAGGCCAAGAGCATGACCCCAGGTGGGAAAGCACCCCACGTGCCATGTATCCCTAACAGAGGGAGTGTGACGGTCTCACCACACTGACTGCTGGACCTGGAGCACAGGGAAACACCTTAAATGTGGCCAGTCAATTCTTCCATGCAAGCAGGATGGTGTGCTCAGCTGGCTGCCTCTTTTGGCCCTCAATAGACTGTAAGTACAAAACCAAAGGAAACAACCCTCTGGAAACAACCCTGGGTACCACTCGGGGTAATCATCCTGATGGGAGGCACATGGATGCAGTGTCACACAGAGCTGGCTGAGCTGTCTTGAGGGGCATTAGTGCTGGGCACCAGGACAACTTTGTTCAAAGCTCGGAGTAAACTCAAGGGTGACTGTGTCTTATGCTACAGCAGAGTCTTGGGGACTCAGAGGAAATGCTCAGGCTCCTGGTCGTGGTGTATTCCTATGCTCTGATTTCCTGCAGACAAATCCCAAGGGGGATCACCCTCACAGCCCATTTCTCTTCAAGCATCATCCCATGGAACTTCCTGAAGGTGCTCCTCTGCTAATTTGGAGCTCTGGGGTGGCATCAGGTGCTGTCAGTCACACAGTTGTTGACGTGCTCAGGTTAAGGACCCATCTCTGGTTTTATAACAGAAGGATTTAGCAAAATCTCCAGTTTTGCGTTACTGGGATTTTGAACAGGGCAGATGGCCGCATTTCTATTTGCGATAAAGCAGAGTCTTTCCTCTTAATTAGATCCAGTTTCCTCCTAGGGGGGCAGTGGCTTTTGAGCTGGAGCTTTCTGTCAAGCTCTAATTAAACCCTGCCTTGATTGTTGTCCACTAATTAGACATCGATGATTTAAAGTTGGTTGGTTTTTTTTGTTTTTTTGAAAGAGATCCTGAATTCCTCATCCTCCTCCCCCACATTCCTGCACTTGTTTTTGCTCCTCTAAGAGCCCATCCATGCCCACAATCAGCAGCCCTTCACTCTGCACTGGCCATCCCACAGGGATGGGGTGGGGACACCTCTGCTCCATCTCTCTGCCCATCACCTGTCTCACATGGCTTTCACCAGTGAGACCAAGTGACTTTGGGCCTCACAGTTGCTTCTGCTGCAGTAGATCAAGTCCTTCAGCTAAACCCTCACTGAGGCAGGAGGAATTTCCTTTCCTTCTCTGCTCCTCCAAACTCTCAGCTCTGACAGAATCCTCCAACCTCCCAGCCAGCTGAATCTCTGAAGTTTGCCATAATGATGTGCCAGAGCCTGCATCAGGCTATGTTTCTGCCTTACCCATAAGATCTGGCCTATGGAACTCTCTCCATAGGTCATGGCAGCTCCTTCTCCATGCACAAGGTAACAATCCACCTGTGGCTGCCTCAGACATTCCCAGGGGAGTTTGGCTCTGCCTGACCCCTGCCAGACAAGACTGTCTTGCTGGGACACACCACACCAGCACCTCTGCATCCAGGCCCTCCCTGAAGAGAACATCAGCAGCTGTAGGACAGCAGCTCTCTCATGTTGTCCTGTCTCAGGGTAGGGTGGAGAGCCAGTCTCTGTTAATTGTGCCTTGGACTTTGCCTGACAGAGAAGCCATGGAGCCATGCTGCTCTGGGAGAGCTCCAAGCCAACCTGGGCTGGCTGGGGCCAGAAGAGCCAGCCCATGGCCCCACTGAGCTGAGCACTCAGGGTTCCCACAAATGCAGTTTTCAGCAACACGTGCAATTACAGAGTGCAAAGTCTGACTAAGGATAAGCCCCAAGGCAAGGTGAAAGGTACCCAGAGGTGACAACAGCAAAGTGCTGTCATGGCCACCCAAACCTGAGCCAGGACAGGACAGGAGGCACTGGGGAGAAGACCCAGGGCTGCCTCCAGTGCAGTGCCCTCTGCCACACAGCTCCCTGTGCAGCAGCAGCAGCAGCTGGGCACTCCACGCCACTTGATTAAGCTGCCGACAATCGGTAGGATTTGGGCTCTGAGCTTACTTTAAACTGATAAATCTTCAGGACGGGGAAAATTAAAGATGAGGGAATTTCCTGATCAGCCAAGGCAGCTCCAGGTCTGGCTGTGGTCCTGATCTGGGTAAGGGGAGGTCAGGCTTTCCAGCCCAAGCCAGCTGCAAGGGAAAGAGCTGGGCTAGCTGAAAGGTCCTCACACAGAGGGGCTGATCCTTCCACATCAAGGGCTGGGGCCCTTCTCACAGAGGGGATGAACAGGGTCCTTCCATTAGGAATAAGGAGCACTGTAGATCCTTCCAGTGGAAGCTCTAGGTCTATTCACACTTAGTATGCAGTGGAGAGTAAGTGTTTGTCCACACCTGTGTAAAACTGTGCAGAGAAGGAAGTGAAGGGTCTTCCTACCAATAGTTAGTATGCAGTGGAGAGTAAGTGTTTGTCCACACCTGTGTAAAACTGTGCAGAGAAGGAAGTGAAGGGTCTTGCTACCAAGTTCAACATCATTCCTCAGGACCTTTCTCCCAAAAGGACAGACCCTGTGTGAGGACACCTGGGAAGTCTGTGCATAAGGGGATACTTGGGATCCTTATCAATATAGGCATCAGGTCCCCTTGTGGGGAAAGGTCTGGGTTATTGTAGAGTGTCACTTTGAGGAGCGAGTCTGTGAAGGTCTTGGGGTACATCTACAGTGGGGTTTCATTTGTGGAGGGATCTAAGGAGGATCTATAGACAGGGTCACTTCGGTGGGGGGGTGGTTAATTACTGGGTTTGAGTGGTCATGTCTGGGGAGACATCAAGGGAAATGTATAGTGTACCTCTGTGGGAAGCACTGGAGAGAGCGGGGGGAGGCTCTATCCTCACAGCCCTTTCATGGCGCAGGAGAGAGGGGGCCTGGTACAATATGTCTTTAAGGGGGAACTGAAGGGTGCTTTTACAGGGATGGGGGATCCATGCATGGGCTTCTTTCAGTGGTGGGGTCCCTTTGGGGGCTGAGTGTTCCCCTAAAGCAAGAATCTATTGGAGAAAACCCCACATCTCTGGGGCTGACCGGGAGGCTAGTCCTTGATGTGGAGTGTGCTGGGGTGTCTGAATCCCCAGGGATTCAGGGGGATGATCCAGTGTGTCCTAGGCCATGTTGTAGGGTGTCCCAATGCTGGTCCTTGACCAGGGTGCACTGAAGTGCCCCAAGGTGGGTCCCTAGCCCAGGATGTCCTGAGGATCCAGACCATCCAGACTGTCCGGGTGTCCCAGGGTTGGTGCCTGTTCTGGGATCACCTGAAGTGGGTCCCTGATCCAGCTCTCTGGCTGTGTCCCAGGGAGCCTTATGTTTCTCTGGGGTCAGACCTTGCCTGGGGAATCCCAGGCTCCAGTGCCCCAAGCAGGTGTGACCATTCCTGGTGCCAGTGCCTGGTCTGGATGTCCCAGGAAGCCCTGGAGTGTCCTGAGGCCATTTCTTGGCTGAGAAGACCCATGGCCCTACAGTGTTCGTGCCCATCCAGCTTCCTGGAGTGACCCCAATGGTCCCTGTGGCCAACCTCTGCCTGGGGAGACAGGTGCCAGTGCGTAAAGCCAGCAGCTGCTTGTGGTGCTCTGTCAGTGCCAGTGCCTGGCCTGCTTGTCCCAGGAAGGCCTGGGAAGCCCTAGGGCCAGCTCCTGGCTGGGATTCCCTATGGACACAAAGTACATGTACCCAGCCCAGCTTTCTGGAGCAGCCCTTGTGTTCCTCATGGCCAGGGGATACCAGGGAGCCCTCGGTGCCAGCGCCCCAAACGGGTGCCCATTCCCACTCATCTGTCAGCACCAGCACCTGGCCTGGGTGTCCCAAGAAACTGTGGGGCTGGATCCTGGATCCACGGCCCTGCAGCGTTTGGACTCAGCCCAGCTTCCTGAAGCAACCTTGCTGTTCCTTGTAGCCAGGGACCCCACTACCACTGCCGGGGGATCCCAGGGTGCCGCACGCTCAGCGCTGCCCACATCCTCCCCACCCGTGCCCCGCCGCCAGGCCCGGGGCAGGCCGGCGTTCCCAGTGCCGGTGGTTCCCGGTGCCGGTGTGTACCTGCCAGCAGCTGCATCCAGGCGCAGATCTTGTAGACGGTGGCGGTGTTGCAGAAGAAGAACAGGGCGAAGCAGGTGATGCAGCCCAGCGTCAGCACCATGGAGAGCAGCACGAAGAACGCGGCCGCCTGAAAGGCGCCCGAGGGGATGGTGCTGAAGTCGGTGAAGGAGCCGCGGCACGACAGCTCCCGGCCCGCCAGCCCGCTGCCCACGCAGTAGTGGAACAGCCCGAAGTACCCGGGCTTGGGCGTGTTAACGCTGTCGCCCACCCAGTAGGGCTGGATGAAGACCACCACGTTGATGATGGCGAAGCAGATGGTGAAGATGGCCCAGAGCACGCCGATGGCGCGCGAGTTCCGCACGTAGTTGTCATGGTACAGCTTGGAGGCTTCCTGCGAGGGCAGCATCCTGCCGGCCGCCGCTGCCGGAGGGCGGGAGGGGCCGGGGCGGCCCTTGGGCCCCCCCCCGCCACTGCGGAGCCGAGCCCAGCCGAGCCCGGGCTCGAGCCCGGCCGGGCCCAGTCCAGTCCCGCCCAGCCCGGCCCGGCCAGAGCCCGGCCGAGCCCGAGCCGAACCGAGACCCTCCGAGCCCGCCCCCCGGGGATTGGACCGCTCCGCCGCCTCCTGCTGCGCTCGCCTCGGGCTCGGCCGAGCGACGGGCTCGCATCCACTCGGCTTGGCTCGGGTCGGGTCGCTGGGCCCATTCCTCTCCCCCGGTCCGGCAGGACCGTTCCCCGGACCGACCCCGCCCGGGGTAGCACCGTGGCATGGCTCCGATAAGTGCTGGAAGGTCCCCGCGTGGCTGCCTTTGACCGGAGTGCGCCCGCAGGGAGAGCGTCCATCCTCCCGCACCCCTCACGGGCCCCGGGGAGGCCTGCGGGCTGCCGGCGTAGCCCCTCGGACGGGCAGCAGACCTTCCCCACGCTCCTGGCGGGGACGGAGCAAGTGAGTTGCCACCACTGTGGGTGCGCCCGCTCGGGGGCAGCAGGAGTCGACCCAAAATCTCTGACAGAGCGAGGCCAGGTACACGGCTGTGCCAGGTCAGATGTGGTGACAGGGTTGGGGTGCACAACGTGCGCCAGGCTGGGTGTGGTGGATGACTGGGCTGGGTAAACGGCTATGCCAGTGGTGTCACACAGGCTGTCAGCGCTCGTATGCCAGCAGGTGCCCTTGCGCAATCCTGCCACTGCCCCGTCAGCCTCACAGCGGTCCCAAACCCAGCAGAGACCAAACCGTGCCGGGCCAGTTTCATTCTCAGGCAACGAGATGCACCGCGTTAGCTGCAGTTGAACTCGGCTGTCATTCAGTGTTTGAGAAGATTCGCAGCTGATTTGCAAATCAGACAAACGCAGATGAAAAACACATTGTGTTCCCCTGCAAGAGCCAAGGAGCCGTGTGCCTCCGGCTGGGCGCGGGCAGTGCTGTCACCCTCGGCACAGCCCGAGCTGGCTCCGTGACACTGCCCGGGCACAGTGCCGCCCTCAGCCGTGCTCCGGGCAGCGATACCGCTCCCCCCGCAGCCCCTCTGCCACGGGCTCAGTGAGTGCGAGCACACTCTGGGAGGGGCTTCTTTAATTAAAACCCCCCTCGGCGTTCTTTCTTTAGGACAGCGCCCTGGGCACGCCCGCCAGCGCCACAGTCCGACCCACTCGGCGAGGCCTGACAGCGTTTGCCGCGTCTCTCTGCGGGTGCCGAAGCAGAGCCCGGTGCCCCCGGAGCGGGTCCCGGTACCCCGGGGCGGAGCGCGGCGCGCCCCGATGACGCCGGGAGCGGGCGGAAGGGGCGCGTCGCGGGCGGGCGGAAGCGGCGGGCGGGACGATGGGCCCGAGGCGGCGGTGAGTGGCGCGGGCATGGCGGCGGCGGCGGCCCGCGGCTGCCCCCCGGCGGGCTCCGGGGACCGCTCCCTGGCCGAGCTGCTGCTGGAGTTCTCCCGGGCACAGTACCGCGCCAAGGACGGCGGCGGTGCCGCCGCTGCCAAGGTGAGGGCAGCGGGGCTCGGGGGGCGCGGGGAGCGGGGAGCGGCGCGGCGGGCATTGAGCGGTGGCTCTGCGCAGGTGGAGCGGATCGAGCGGCGGTGCCTGGAGCTCTTCGGCCGCGATTATCGCTACAGCGTGATCCCCAACGTGCACGGCGAGGTCTGCGCCCACTATCCGCGGCACATCGTCCTCCTGGAGCGCGATGCCGGCGCCAGCCGTGACTCGTAAGGCCCCCGGTTCCCGTGTCCCGTCCCGTGCAGGTGACGCCCGGCGGAGTTGTTGTCCCTGGGAGCTTCCGCGCCTGGCGCTCCGAGGCTCCCGCCGGTCTGGGGAAGCCCTGCGGGCTGCACTGCGCTAATTATAGCCGGTGGTGTCAGCCGCTCCCGGGACTCCCCTCGCTGCCTGCCGGGGCTGCCGAGCTCCCGTGGGGCTCCTCCCAGGGCACTTGGGCCGCCTTGGGGAGAGCTGCCAAGCCAAACCTGTTACTCGGGAGCCGTGAAGGAAACGGGGGTGCTCCGGGGCAGCGCCAGCTCCGCTGATGTGGCCCTGGAGCAAACCTGAGCACAGCGTTGGCTGCTGGTGATTGTTGTGTTGCGGCCTGGCCGAGGGCTCGAGGCTGTGAGCAAGCCTGTGTGATGCTCTCCCTGCCTTGATGAAGCACCTGTGGTCTTCCAGCGAGGCTTCTGATGTAGGCAGTTTTAGTCTGCAAATCATCTCGGGTCAGGGGGTCTGATAGGGGCTAGGCCTACAAGACAGCCTCGAGAGATATTTCTGTTGTTTCAGACCAGGTTCCAGGTTATTTCGTCTCTCCCTGCTGTGGTGAACAGGTCAGTGAGCAATGAGGTTCAGTGAGCTAATGGGAAACACTTGTTCAGTTTGGTGCACATTTGAGCCAACACATCTCTGGACTTTGACCCACAAGCTCAGGATCACATTGGTCTTGCTTCTGGCTGAGTATGAGCTGCTCCTTCCAGCTCCAACCACAGCCTCTCATTTGTGCTTTTTCCTTCAACAAAACATAATGCAGTTTTGCAGTCTTGTCTGTGTGTCCATGACAAGAGTGATGTGTTCAAAAGGAGGGTCAACAAGTCCTTCTCACATGTCCAGCTGCATTGCCTGAGGAAGGAAAACCATCAGCTGCCGTGCTGACACGTAGGCTGGGTGCTGTAGGAGGGGGTCTTTGGAAACCAGCCACAACTGACTGCCAGGTGGGAGAGTTTCTGCCTAACAGTTGGATGAGATTAGAAAAGATTAAACCCCTTGCTGCAAAAAACAGGAAACGGAAGTTTGAAGCTGTTAAGTGTAACTAGGGGAAGCTTTAGGGAAGAGAAACTGAATGCTTCTGCTTTTCCTGCTCTTGCAAGAGGAAAGGATGCTTAATTTTTCTGACAAGTATTCAAAACAAGGGTACTTATACTTGGTGCCCCATTTTCTTCTGTGACCTTTGCAAGCCAGCAGTGACAATTGACTGTATTTGTGCTGATTCTTGGCAAGTTTTGATTTACTGTCTGAAAGAGAGTGACAAAATCAGACTACACTTCATCATCACTCTCCTGATTTCAGCATGATGATTTCTGTAAAAGCTGCCAAGTAATTTTTAGACAAATGCAGATTTTAGTTTAATCATTTTATTCCTATGGAATAATTATTAAATAGAGATTCCTGCACATCTTGTGTTATGGAAGGAAAGAATCTCTTTCAGTCAGCAGGACACTCCATCCTGGACTGAGTCTCTTTGGCTGCCTCTTGTGGAACCATAGAATGGTTTGAGTTGGAAGGGATCTTAAAGATCATCCAGTTCCAGCCCCTACTGCCATGGGCAGGGATAACTTCCACTAGATCAGGTTGCTGAGGGCCCCATCCAACCTGGCCTTGAAGGCTTCTGGTTTTATCTCTGTAATGTTTTTAATCAGCTGGTAAGATCTACTTGAAGCTTCTCAACTCTGAGAATACTGAGGTGCTTTGGAAGTAGTTTTGACATGTACAAACTCTTTGCTGTACCATCATTTCTGTCAGTACAGCTGCTTCTGGAGCCAGGTGGAGAAGCAGCAAAAAATTGATATTTTTTAACCCAAATCAGTTCATTCTGTAGCTGGGCAGCTGGGGGAAGAAAGGACTTTGCCTGATCAAAGTTTGCTAACAGTACTCTGAAATCCAGGCAGGTACAGGAGAAATTCTGTGTGTTTTGAACCTTTTGCTTTTACTCCTATTTATGCTGCATTTAATCACTAGCTCCTGTAAAAGCGTTACACTTGTTCCTCAGAGCAGCTTCCCCCTTTCTGCTGGAGTCTTGATGCAACTGTGTTTGTTTACCACGTTCATCTCTTGCATTACTGAGGGTGGTTATTGAGATGAAAAGCTCTGAGAGCCTTATTTGTAGCCATGACTGATGGCAGAGCAGGTCTCTCCAGTGTGTGTGCAGGCTTCCCAAGGAACAGGTATGGTGTGCCTGGGAAAGGGGCTTATCCTTCCATGTCCCCAGCAGGGTGCAGGGCTTCCCACTCACTCTGTGTCCTGGGCTCCTGCCAGGCTGCTCAGACTCATTTGCAGAAACCTCTCCAGGGAAATGCAGTGAGTGAAACCTGTTGTCTCAGCTCCCAGAGAGGTGCTGCTCTTATAATTTCTGATCTTTCAGATATTTCATTTTTGCTAACTCTCATCTTATTGGAAGCAGTGCCATGGAGCTATTTTGGTAACACTGCATTTAAGTTCTTGTTTCCCTCTGTATTTGCTTTTGTAAAGGGAACTGCAGCAGAGTGCAGGATATATCTCTTAATTGCATGCATTCATTTAAAAACAGCCCCGCAACCAAATCTGTGCATAGAATCTTTTGAGTTTCAAAATAGTTTGGTGTTTGGAATTATACTTGAAGGCATTATTATACTCTCACACTTGCTCACATTTTCCTGCCTTTCCAATTAGCACCCTCATGTTCACACTGTTTAAAGAAGATTAGCTTGGGGTTTTGTTCTTTAAATTCTGGTATATGTCAAAGGTCTTTGGAGCTGGACAGCAAAATAATTGTATATGCAGGAAAACATGAAAAAACTTAAACTACCATTATGAATTCTGAGAACCAAATCCTTCTATTAAAAAAAAAAAAGAGTATTTGGAAGCCTTGTTTTCTGTTTCCCTTGTTTGCCTGCTTCTACTGGCACCACCTTGTATAATATTTTCCGTAAACATATTGATATCCATTTTAATAATAGGTTAATTTTTTCAATCCCTCCCAGAATGGCAGCTGCTGGTACATTGCTCCACACTCTCAGTGATTCTGAAGTTCAGCAACTTTCTTTAACTCCATTGTAAAGGTATTAATTTGTTCTTAGGCCACTGTTGGGTTCTCCTCCTCCTCCGTTGTACTCTGATGCTCGTATTGCTGTGCATCTGCTCTTTCCATCAGACCCTGGTGGTTTCTCTTGCAGCATAGACTCTCCCTTGGGCATCCTACTCATCTTCCTGTGCCTCTTCAGGCAGGGGTGGGTCACT